AAAGAAAAGCTTTCTATTATTATTATTCCATATACCGCGCGACGAACTCGCGCCACGTTTTGAAGAATCAAAGCGGGGAATTTAAACGATGAGACATATGATTGACATGTATCAATGTCCTTGTCTTTTAAAGTTGGGGGGCGTAAATCACTTAATGAATTAAGTCAGTAACGGTGGGAGACAGCAACCCTCCAACCGCTCCAGTCGCGCTCAAATACCCATTTCCTGAGTCAGTCGGCACAACTCTGGTCTATCGTGAAGTAGTAGGATGTTAAAGTCGATTCCATTCGAAAAAATCGAAAAGATATTGGAATCATTGTCGTAAAGATCGGCCAGATCCGTAAGGATGATGGATAACAGTAGCGATAGTAGCAATAGACTTATGCTTGATGATATCCGTGAATTAATTGCCGAAGATGAGCCTAACATAGAGATTGATAGTTTAGAAGAAGAACCAGGATCGGGACGAGGAGATAACTATACTTCGATGTTGTATCGGATTCGGGCAAAGGGGCGCAAACTGTTAAAAAATGAGGAATACATTAATTACGAATGTGCTATCATTTATAAGATATTGCCGGAATCCAAGAAACATCGTGAGGCATTTAAAAGCGAGTTATTGTTCAGGAATGAAGTCGTGTTTTATAAACATGTATGGCCCGCGCTGAATAGGCTGCAATCGAATGGTAGAAGAGTATTTAGCGGAGTACCCAAGATATACGCCGCTAGAGCCGATCTTATTGCCATGGAAGATTTGAGACAGAGAGGTTTTAAAATGGCAGACAGACGGAAAGGATTAAAAGTGGAGAATTTAGAGCACGTGTTGAAGGCTCTAGCAGGCTTTCACGCGCTTAGCTTGACATTAAAAGAATCCAGGTAAATATGTATCCAGGTAAAGAATCCGGTTAATTAAATATAGATATAATAAATGTTCTGAATAATTCGAAACAATTTATCTAGAAGGTTTTTCTAGAAGTAGACTTTTATATAAAATATTTAAGAATTGTTGAAAATTTGATAAAAAGAAATTTCCTTTTTTGTACATGTACTTTATTTCAGTATCCTCTTTTTTTTTATTTTAATGTAAAAAAATGTTACTTTTTAAAGACCGGAAGAATTCGCGAATTTAACGAATTCGGAACATGATCAAGCTATAAAAGAAACATTATTTCGACGAGATAACGAAGATTGGTACCGTCAGTATTATCGCGTCGCCGTGAATAACGCCATCACGATGGTGTCTGAAGCACTTCCTTCGCACATGGACTACAGAAGACAGGAAGTAATGACAAAGTTGCAAGCTTTCCTAAACGAAGACGTATTTTTTCGCACTATGAGCGAACTCGTCTCCACGCAAGGACCTCTCTCCGTATTTTGTCACGGTGATTGTTGGACCAATAATTTCCTTTTTCAGGATGAACCAAGCTCAGATACAGAGGTAAATATTTTATTTTGTAAGAAAAGTAAATTAGAAAAGCGCAATACACATTGCATGTCTGATAATATCTACAATAAAAGGTCGCAAAGATGATTACCGTCAAATGTGGTGATAATCATCTTTTTTTTTTTTTTCAGATCATTTACGCGAGATAACGAAACGAGAAACCACTCTCTTTTGTTGTTCCATACATTTTTATTATATAAATTTATAAGATTCTTATATGATTTAAATGTTTCTTCCATTTGCGATCTTATTAAAAAGATTCCGGTTTAGCGAAAGTGATCACACCTAGACTCATGTAGCCGGTCATAAAGATTCTTGCATTATGTATAATTACATCTAATTAAGATAAATAAATAGACAATTAAAGATAATCAAACGTCGACTTTTTTTAAAAAAAAATCGATATTTAATTATCTTTAATTATTTATTTGTAAAACAAAATTAATGCCCGAAAGTTAAAAAAATCCGAAAAATATGTATAATATATAACAATTGACATATTCGTACTTAATTCTTTTTCAACTATTTAAGCTTTTTATCCATTGGGCAAAACAAATTCAGACGACCATTTAAAACATACAAATAAATATATGATGCAAGAATATCCCGCATTACGATCTATAAATCACATTCGAGATTGACAATGTTAGCTGTCACGAATGTGAAATGCGTCTCACTGCGAAACCTCCTAGACTTGATTTTTAATACTGTGCTTCTGCAGGCCGTTTATCTAGTTGATTTTCAACTGACGCGGGTCGGTTCACTCGCTCTTGATCTTGCGAACTTGCTATACTGCTGCACGAGTGGTGTTGTTAGGCGGGCTTACATGACACAGCTTCTCCAGCATTATCATTCTCATCTGATGTCCTTTTTGCGCATCCTAAATCCAGAACAGCCGCCAAAAGATCCATCTATCATGTGGGAATTGTAAGTAAATCTCCGAGATTCAGTCATGTGTACAACAAAATATATATAACTATAATAAATTCATTGCTTACACTTTATAAGTAATTTATCATCGAAAAGCTTATATGCAAATCTAATCTCAATTTTTTTTTTTGTAAAACGGACATTTAAAAATATAGGATGGTTTGACTACCTTTTTAATATTGTTGTCTATTTAACGATTCTAGATTAAAAGAAGAAATGAGGAGATGTGGACGTTTCGGATTGGGATTAGCGTTGGACATTTTACCGATTAGTACATGTGCTAGTGATGAAGCACCGAATCTGTACGAAACAAGTAGCACGGAAACTAGTGAGGAAAAACATAATACTGCAGGAACACCACCACCCGGAGGCGCAGAATGTGCCCGACTTATGACTGATTTAGTATTGGATTTGATAGATAACGAAGCTTTGTAGATAAGATTTCACATTGATTGATAATGATGTATGTAATAATATGTATAATATGTATCAAGTGTAAGTCTTTTACAACTCTCGTAATGTATGTACATTGAAAAAAAAAGTGATTTCGTTCCGCGAGAAATCTTCCTTTTTTTACACAGTTGTGAAGATAATTTCTTCCCATATACGATTGAATACGTAATAGAAATCAAAAATATATATAAAGAAACTTCCGCAAACTATTTATTCCTTTCTAAAGGAAAATGTTTCGAAATCGCGCACAAATTATTTTGTATATGTAATCGTGGAAATTAAATTTGGAAATGAATAATAAAAAAAATAAAAACGAAAAAACGAGGAAGATTGAAGAAACAACATTAATAATGTATTACATAATTTGTAAAAGTTTATATGATTGATTTATTTAATTACTACATATTTAAAGATTTAAACTCACGAAAGAGTTATGTCTGCTGCGGCGGCGTGTGTGGTGGCGGCTGTTGTTGCGGTTGAGCCTGAGGACTTGGCGGTTGCTGCTGCTGCTGCTGCGCACCGGGCGGTTGCCATGGTGGATGTTGTTGATTTTGTTGCTGTTGCTGCTGCTGTTGCTGTTGTTCTTGAGCCAATCGTTGATGGGCCTGCTGTCGCGCCCTGAATTCGGCTGCCTTCAATTGCTCGAGATGGAATTGCTGTCGCTCGGTGATGAGTTGCTGCCGTTGATACTCAAGACCTTCGCGTTCACGCTCCATCGTAGTTTCCAATTCTTCGAAGTGACGCAACTTGATCTCTAGCTTTTTCATTTGCGTCTCGACTAGTAATGCGACCAATGACTTGATTTTACGTTCCTCCACAGCTGCTAAATGTTTGGCTTTAACAGCCGCAGCCGCTAGTGCTGCCGCCGCTGCAGATTGAAGCTGAGCATCCCTTACAACCTGTTACAACAAAAAAATTAAGTTTAAACTTAATTTGGTATTCTATCACTTATTTAAAAATTTTGATATTTTTTTTTATAACATGCAAATTAATTCATGTCACTGTGATCTCTACTTTATCCTTCTTTTCTTTTGCTTCAGCAGCTTCTGGATCAGTAGTGGATTTTGTATCCTCTTCGCCCTCTTTTGTTTCGTCCTCTTTCTTGGTGATTTCTATCTGAGATGGTTCAACATCCATAGCGTCTTTAGATTTATCTTGATCTTCTTTCTTTGCTTCAGGAGTAGGAGCTGTGGAATGAGGAGAGCTAGCCGCACCCGCCGGTACGGATGGGGTCGCGGTAGAAGCTGATGTATCATCAGGTGGTTCAGGTGGTCCTGTACCAGCGATGCCCGATTGTGCCAAACCAGCTGATGGATCATATTTACCTATATAAAAATGAAGAATTGATATTTATTATCTACTTAACAATTATTGTGTGCATTAAAATCTTAAAATTAAGTTATAAATTTCTAATTTATAATGTAGTAAGAAGAATTACCGTCGGAACTGGCACTAGCTTGAACGTTTCTTAAATGCTGGTCCAATAAGGCAGCTGGTACTTGATCTTTTATTGCGGCAAATTCTTCCATAGCTGCCTTTGCTGCGCTCGCGGCTACTCTAGGATCCACGACTGACGCAAGGAAGGCGACTGTACTCATAACAGGATTACCAGCTTTCGAGAATGGTACGGGTTGGTAAGCCAAAGGACCCAATCCTTCGGGCCCGCCTTCTTCCAGATATGGATCCTCTATAGGTAAACGTAAGAAGTGCAAGATACACTCGTCTTGCGTTCTCGAACCTACATGTTCGCATACTTTATTCCAGTCATCCTTGTGCAATTCTAATCCTTCCAATAGTAGAAGTGTTTCCTGTTCTGTCCAATCACGCGTGGCACCCGCCGCTTGCTTGTTCTTCAATACTGCCGGTTTCCTCGAATACTGGTCGATTTTCAGACCGAAGTTTGCCATTGCACCCGTCGAAGCCTTTTCTTCCGTACCCAGGGCACCCGTTATATTCGGTTTTTTCTCCAAGTCGAGCAACATCTTTGCAGCGGATGGTTGT